AGGCATAATGCAGGCTTGGCAATGTTTTTTATTAAGGAAATAGCAAAGCTTAGAGAGAATACCTAAACTTCTTTTAATTTTTTTTTTAGCAATATCGCTAATATGGCTCTTCTAACTAATATTTGAATCTTTATAACTCCAAGTTATCTAATGGAAGTTTCTTCGGTTAATGAGTGGTTATTTATGAATAGCAGAACCTTTTTGGGAATTTGTTTTTTGTACTGGATGAAAAATAACAAAATTTGACTTTTCAATATTTATTGAAAGCTTATTGAATTTTACTTCGAAGTATGTTAAGGTCCTTATACTCATCAAACAAATGTGCGTCATCTGCCAAAAGGTGGAAGTCCGATAGTTTCGAGCAGTTTTGAAAGTCCTTAATATAAGGAAAAGGAGAGGACCCAATACTGATCCTTGAGGCACCCCACAAGAGACTGTTTGCATGTCAGAAATGACGGAGCCAAGTGATACTGTTTGAGTTCTCTTGCTCAGATATGAGCTGAACCAGTCTTTAACAACGCCTCTAGTGCCATAGTATTCAAGCTTTGCGAGCAGAATGTTGCGATTAACAGTATCAAATGCTCTGCCGAAGCCTAGGAATATCCCGCAAAAGAGTTTTCACATCTTCGATAGCTTCAGTAGTTCAGATATGATATCTTAAAGGCAAACGATTTTATCTTTCCTGTTTTTAAATTAATTTTCAGGATTGTAATGTTACTGACGCTACTCTTGTACAGTTTACTAAGATCTTTGGTAAGACTTTAATTAAATTGTGATGATAATAATAATAATTATAATAACCATCATCATCATCATCATAATCATCATAACCATAATGATAGTCAAACCTGTGTTAAGCAGCCACCTATGGAGAAGGGCAGCGTGATCGCCAAGTTGACACTTTAATTCCACAGTATGGAGGCACTATACTTTGACAACTGGCCACTTAATAGAGGGTGACCGCTTAATACGGTGCCGCTTAATATAGGTTTGACTATCGTAACATTGATATTGGTAAAAAATATATGCTTTGTTATGAAATTCTTGGTAGTCGGTTAACCGGTTAGTAGTCGGTTAACCGCCAAAGAGATCCTAACGGGCTCTGTGTTTCAGTAAGGTGGCGTTTTATTTTGGGTAAAGATGTCTTGCCTATCATCATGGCTCAATGAATAGAAGAATTTCACCAAACAAACCGGACAAGCATTGAAGCAGAATAATCCACAACTTAACATTATGAAACGCATTATTATCTTCAAAATACCTTATTAATAACCACAGAATATCTCCTTTGAACTCAAATAGCAAAATGAATAAAATTCACCTTCCAGTACTCAAAGGCAGACGGTTCAGTGATAACTTCCGAACGGTGAGATGGAGGATTTGGCTCTGATTCTGTTCCCCCTGAAAGCCATGTAAATCACACTCAAAACTCACCAACACCTCCCCTTCCCAGGCGAGAAATAATGACTGGTCACTTAGATGAAGTTCCAAACTTCCTTTGTTTGAAGTGTTTGCGGTTCAAACATATGTACATCTTAAGTCCGCCGTACGATGAGATTAGGGACGAGTGTTATTTTCAACTTTTGACCTGTTTTTGATGTGTATCTTATCCTATACGGAAACTGAAACCCGGAAAGACTAACAAGCTGTGGAAGGAGAAAAGGTCCTGCAAGATCTTCAGGAGGAAGTCATGGATTCCATATCCATCTGTCATCCAATCATGTACGGCAACTGCAACCTCTGTGATTATGCCTCCAACAAGAAATTGGACAAGCTCTCCATCCTTCTCCTTCAAGATATCTGTTTATCCCTTCAGCTCGACATCTCCAATATTAAAGTAAAGCGCAAGAGACCATATATTATGCTAATTGAATCTTTGGGGGAGAAGTGTTCCTGTAAATCCTGAGTCTTCTTTTATTTGTACATAGTTGTTGCGATGGTATTACAATGCAAAGAATATTAACAGAGAGTGCGAATTAGTTAAGGTAACGCGTTAACATGCGAGATAATTTAGCCGGTAAAAACAAGCATTTAGTGTCCTTTTCTGTCTTTTTCTCTGCAGATATGAGTGTCGTTTCGCGTTTACGTTATTCAGGTACAAAAGGTCGTCCAAAAGATAAATATTAGTTTGCCAGCTTAAATAATGACAGGGGATTAAGTTTGGATGATAAAACAAAGGATTATGTTGACAGAAATACTGGAGGTCGAGTGTATTCGTTAAACGAGATCACACAACTCGGGCAATATTTACGGTGGAAATTTGCATATTCGAGCGGTCGAACGAAAAAAATAATTTCTCGAAAACTAAAATATATTTTTAAAAAAACTACAACGCAATTATTAGGACATATTGGGCTACAAAATATGAAGGAAGGAGAGAAAACGAACTTTCGGCGACTTGCCACTATATTTCAAATTTGTTTGATAGATGCTGACATCCTCTCTTAAACTTCTCTAATAAAGCGTACTTTACTTCATTGTTGCTAACACCTTGTCAAGAGCCTGCATCAGTGGTTGTTTTGGGTGTTGCAGCTAAGACAGCGATCAAAGACGCCGATACAAAAGCAATCGACTTGTTTCAAAGTTGTCAACTGTAGATGCCAAATCACGCAACAGCAATCCTGGCGCAGCGGGGGCGTTTTTTAACGAGCAATATGTTCACATACCACCGGACCAATTAATTGTCCAATAGGAAAGCTTGTTAATTAACAGAGTTATATCAGGGAATTAAAGATGGAAATGGAACCAAAGGGATTTCAGTGAGGAAAGGATCATAGTGGTGACAATGCTCAGCAAAAAAGTTGTCAAAAAGATACTAATCCACAAGATGCAGTTAGATGTAAAGATATGTTCCGAGGACACATTCTAAAGATTAAATAAAAATAGAACTTAAAAAGGAAAATAAGAGAAAGGTACCGACAGACGAGGAGAGAATTGGTATGTTGCACGGTTCTAGATGATGGTATTGACCTACTAAGCAGTTTGAAAGAGAAAGGTCACTGCAGCTCTGGCCGATTCTCACATATTTTTCTGAAAAATGTTTTTTACTGACATTAATCGCATTTGCACTTCAGGCTGCAATCCTACACCGCAGAAAAGTTTCTCTATGGCAGTCTCGATGGCCTCTACTCAAACAATTACTTTATGTCCAGTGAATATAGCTGAGCATTCAAGGTCATCCCCTCCACCCGAAACGACTAGGAAGATAAATAAACTAATAAAAGTTTTTTTAATAAGACTTGCCAAAGTTTTATATTTTACACCTTTTTCTCTTTGCAAGTGTTCCAAAACTTCTGTCTACGATTGCTCAAGCATCAGTCAAACAAAACTTTAAAATTTTATTTCTTTTATTCTCATATAGTTCAACGAAAAAGGAACAAAACCACAGACATGGATGACAAGGATGTCAAAACAATGCTCAGTAAATTACGAAATCAGCGCATCAAATCAAATATTATTCCAGACCAGATTTGTCTTTTCTTGGAACAGCGTCAAGTGATAAGTTCACAGGACAAAGCATCTGTGGAACAAAAGGGTGATCCAAGTGTGAAGATGCTTATATTATTGTCGCTGATAACGCGTAAGGGTTTAGAGGCATATAATACGTTTGTACAAGCCTTAGAGGAAAATGAGTTATTTTTGGTCGCCTGCCATCTTTACAAAGAAGGTAGGTGAATTCATGCTTGTGTACACTTTTGAAAACACTTTCATCAAATCGTTAGACATCAACACACGGTCGAAAATCTATAGCAATTATTCCTACTAAAACGAAAAAAAAAAACATGCTCAGCTGTTCTTTATCGAAGTAATTTTCTACAGCGTTGGGAAATATATGCACTTACAATTGGAAGAAATAATAGCGGACGAAGCCTTCGTCGTCGTCTTTTGGCAACTCCAAGTACTCATCTTCCAGGTCAACTTCCACAGATTCCTTCATAGTTCATAAATCATATTACGGCCTGTAATGTAATAGTTATCAGGTTACATCCACCGTGGTATTTCACTTCCGCCGTGAAAAATTAGCGTTGTCTTGCCGTGAGTTGGCGTTGTCTTGCCGTGAGTTGGCGTTGTGTTGCCGTGAGTTCGTTGAGTTTTGCCGTGAATTGCGGTTGTCTCGCCGTGAGTTCGCTTTGTCTTGTTGTAAGTTTTGTTTGCCGTGATACTATGGGCCACCGCAAAAAGGACTCTCATAAATCAAAACACAAACATCAGATGAAAAGGCAAGGACTCCAACAACTGAAATGAAAGAAAAGGACAGCCTGATTGAGTCGCCACACTAATAATTATTTGACAATCAGTGTTTCTCACTGAAAAATAAGAATATGCAATTATGGCAAATTTTTTGTAAATCCTCGTAAAATCAAGAGTATACGTAAACTCGTCAAAAAAAAAATCAGCAGTATGCTGAAGAACATAAAAAGATAACACAAGAAAACATGATGGTAAAATAGTTGCTTGTTTATCTAAACATTTAGGCAAATACCTATGGTATCTCATTAAATTTGGCCTTGCTCTATAATCAGTGGCGGATCAACACACACAAAAAATCGCATAAGCTACGTCCTTAAGCGGTTCATTAGATCAAAGCCCAAACTTAAAGTATTCGTCTCATTCAAAAAACGGAACATTCTAAGACTACTAATATTACTCTTGTAGAAAAAGCAATCACTCTCTCTAAATTGGAGAATAAGACAAAGAACATCGCGGAAGTGAGAGAGCAACTTTCATGCAAGGAGGAAGAGGTTGACAAATTAAAGAAAGGTGAGGAATACTGTTCTTAACGAGGGAAACAAACTGTTGCGTGATGGTAGCATTGTTTGAACAACGTAACCATAATATGAAAGTTATTTTCAGAAGAAAATATTTAGCAATTTCTGGCTCAGAGCAAAGCCATGTGCGATTTCGCATAGTTGATCAACAGTATGCTGAAGAACATAAAAAGATAACATAGGAAATCATGGTGGTAAAACAGTTCCTTGTTTATCTAAGTATTTAAGCACATGCCTATGGTACTTCTCATTAAAGTTGGTATTGCTCTTTAATCAGCGGCGGATCAAGGAGAGGGGCTCCGCGCCCTTTTGGGTGAAAAAAAAAAATAGACGCAAAAGGAAGAAAAGCCGGCAGGTGTATACACACAAAAAACCGCATAACTTGCATCCACAAGCGATTCATTGAATGAAAGCCCAAATTTAAAGTATTCATCTCATTCACAAATCTGCATATTGTATGACTACTGATTTTATTCTTGTAGAAAAGGCAGAAGCTCTCTCTGAACTGGAGGAAAAGAAAGAGGACATCGAGAAATTGAGAGAGAAACTTTCAGTTAGGAAGGAAGAGGTTAAAAAATTAAAGGAAGGTGAGGAATACGGTTTTTAACCAGGAAAACAAACTGTTGCGTGATGGTTACGTTGTTTTAACAACGTAATTATGATACAAAAGTTATTTTCAGATATTTAGCAATTGCGAGCTCAGGGCGAAGCTATGTTCGATTTCCAATCGTTGATGGGTCTTGATGACATTTATTCCATGTAATTTCAGATCTAGATACATCATTAGTTTCATCAGTTTGGTCAAAATAATAACTTTTTCCGACTGAATGTAACATCAATTTATATAAGGAATATAACTGGGATTACAAGAGCAGCAAGAGGAGTTTAATCCGATGTCGGTACGAGTTTGACTTCTCCTACAAAGCTTATTTCAAAAGGTACTCGTAAATGGACGGCTTGTCAATAAAAGTTTCAATTCATCTCTGGTCATGCAGATTGTTGTTTGGTTTAAAGAGACCAGAGGAGGACCGTTCTATACATTATATATCGTGCTCAGCAGGGAAAACACAAACTTCGATAGGCAGTTCTGACTGAAGATAGCTTTGCGTCTTCTTTCTTTCTCTTCTCGTTATGCGAAAAACTCTACATATTTTTTCTCTCTAAGTTCTGCGAAGAATACATTCATGCCTTAGAGATTTGTTTGCTGATCGGCCAAGCTTTGAGGAATAAGTATTGAAAAATTAGGAGGTTTACAAATTTTCATGAAAGAAAACTGTATGAGGTTTGCCGAAAAAAAACATGGATTACATTAATTTAAATATGCCTACCTGCACAGCTATATCAAAAAAAGTGAAAGCTAAAACATAAGTAGGAAACCGACTTCAGGTCAGAAGAAAAAGCCCGATGGCTAACGTTTTCTCCGGGGTGGTTCCTATATATAAATATTCTGTTATGACAGTTTTTACTTGACAAGAAAGCTGTAACAAAAAACTCATTTCGGAATGTGTCGCTCTAAACAATGTTTAAAAAGTTTTAATTTTGTGGTCAGGGATGATTTTAAGAATTTGATGGCTTTTATTTTTTCTTCCCACAAATGAAAGGATTTGAGACTCATGTGAGTGATTAGTTAAGAATGAATTTAAAAGAGGAGCAGGAACAGCTTAAAAGGACTCAGGAGGAACTGAAATGTCTATAAATGAATTTATCACTGCTTCTAAGATGGGAAGATGTGCATTAAAAGCAAAGTTACAAGATAATCCTCACATTTGATCCGATATAACGTAACTTGATACCCTTTACTCAATACTCGCAAGCAAATCATAGTGTAAAAGACTCGAAAGAAGCGCTAAACCAAAGCGTATTGGTTATATATATATATTTTATTTTCACTCGAGCTTCGCGTCTTTGTGAAACAGCGGCGATTTGAAATGCTGATCACCGTTGAGCTACAACCTTTGCGAGCAAATGTGCGATACGTAATCATTATTTATGCGGTTAGTGTTCTAATCGCACATGCATAATTTTCCACGGTAATTTGTTACCGCGCTATTTAATACGTAACCATCATAAATTATATATCAATGGAAAGGTTATTCTGGTATGTATAATATACTGCAGAGAACGCAAAATGGTCGTTTACAACGAGGATATTTTAAAGGAAAGTTTAGGAAGAATGTTTGGTGGTAATGAGGCTTCTTCGGGAAAAGACTTAGCAATAAAATAAGGTACGGAGTGCGGAAGGTGCACTGGAGAGGTAATAAATTATGGTGTGATGCGTAGGTTTTTGGTGCTTCCCCCACTTTCTCTTATCAATCAAACTAAGGTGAGTGCTACAAAATAAAACTTAAGGGTCATAGAGAGTACGGAATCGACGAGGAACTACTCACAATCCAAACGAAGATTACTAGTGTGAAATTTATTTATTTCAGACACTACAAGAGAAAATGATCATCAGCAAAGAGTCGTCACTTCACAGGATATCCAGAAAATCGTTGATGACGTAGACGATATAACGAGGGATTTGGTCGCTTCCCTTCGTATGCCAACGCCCCTTGGTAGAAATATAGAAGAGGAGAAAACTAAAAAGCGCGACAGAATTTGGGAGGTCCTTATCAAATGGAAATACAGTAAAGGATACAGAGCCACATTGTCAACTCTAAAAGACGTCCTTCTAAAATTAAACCAGACAAAGGCCGCAATTAAACTGTCAGGTATGAAAAAGGGGTTCACTGATTAGGTGTTCGACAGAGCAGTCACTGTATTCCTCCGCGCAGACCGGCCCCACTCTTACAGATAAATCGTGCCACTATATCGCCAATTTCACGAGAGAAATCACGGTGAAATGACGAGAGCTAAGTCCATTACACCTTTATCAATCCAAATACAAAGGTTTATAATATATGGCATATCTTAATCCATTCAAAGCTATGTACAGTGAGCTCGTCATTTTTTCTTGAGAATTCCTTCCCCGATGGAATCGTCAGACGGTGGATAACATACTTTGGCACGGGACAGAAATCTCCTCTCGGTCAGCGATTTTGCGAAGCTTGAGCAATTAGCTTAAATTTCGATATCCTACTTTGAAAAACGCACGGCATATTTGGTATCCATTATCGATGGATGCAAGGAAGACACGAAGTTCATGGGATGTCTTTTATAGACCAGGAAATGCCTCCGAAGATTATTCATAACTGTGGTTTTAATTGAGTTCTTTTCTTAGTGGCAAATTGTTATACATCGAATAGGAAATTATACGCGAATTATGGATCAAATGGAATTGATAACAATAATAAGCTATTATTAGGGTTTTTCTCCTAATTACATAACACGGCTGTCGTTTCATCTAGGTTAGCTATAGTAGGCATTTTTAAAACGCGATGTTTGCTTGACAAGAAGTCCTCAAAGCAAAAAAATATTCGTAACGCTTCGCTTTCAAAAATGCGTTGGGAATGTTCTATTTTTGGGCCAAGAGATGATTTAAAGAATTCGTTTTTTGTGGTATTATCTTCTCAGAAATGGAAGAACTGAATGAAGACGTGAAACACGCACGTGCACAGAGTGCGAAGTTAAGAGATGACTGTGATCAGCTAAAAGAGGATTTAGAAAAGAAGAGCGAAGAACTTAAAAATTGTTCGAAAGAACTGAAACAGTCACGCAGAGCTGCTAAAGGTAGGAAGACTTACAAAATAACCTACATACGTAACGCTGGTTACTTGTTGTTTGCTCCGAGCAGTTGTAGCACACTTTATTACAACACGATGTTTTATTGAAAGGAATTCTTCAAACCAAAATAGATGTTATTTTCAAAAATCATTGTTGGAAATTTTTTTTTTTAGTTTGTGGTCAAAGACGGTTTTAAAAATTCGTTTGCTCTGGCATTATCTCCTTAGAAATGAAAACGAAGAAAAGGATTTACGTACGTGCACAGAGCGCGAGGTCAAGAAATAAACTTCATCAGTTTAATGATAATTTAGAAGAGGAGCAACGTGGACATAAAACTGCTGGTAAGAAAATTGAAAAGTGTGAAAATAAACTTGCATAGTTACCTGGAGCGTAACTATGCAAGTTTATTAGTTATTCTTTTTTTCTCATACAAGAAAAAAAGAATAACTAACACAAAACATCTCGAACAATAGTATTCTAGAATAGACGATATTTCTAATTGTCATGAATTTCACGTGTACCTACCTGGCAAAAGTAAAAGCTATGCGCACTATGATAACAAAGTAGGCGAATTCTGGGTCTTTAAAAAAGTCAGCTCCTTTTGTCTTGACAAACCTGTTGAGTCCAAATCGTAAAGAGGTCGTAGAACTTTTCGAGTGCGGGCTGCCTCCACTATTTCTAGGGCTTAAAATTTATCTAGAACACTGGCTAACGCGGTTCTATCCTGTGGTTCATCCAAGTTCTTCTCCCTCAAATAATCATTCAAAATGTTTATGTTGTGGTTCAATTTTATCCTTGGTTTAAATTTTATTTTCCATTGTTTCAACCCTATTATCATACATTACCATAACCAAAAACAATGGAAAATGAAATTTATACCAAGGATAAAATTGAACCACAACATTTACTTGTCTTTGTTGTCCTCTAGGTATTTTTTGACTATTTGTTCTCGATCAAAACTTTCAATTCATTCTCCGAAACAGAGGGGAAGCATTTAGCCATTTTTGCAAAGGTATGACAACACAACGCTTGGAAACTACGCAGACGTTGACCTCGACATGATAACCCAAGATCTGCTGCAGATCTTGGGTTATCTTCTCAAGTTCATATGTTACTGTATATTGACTGAATGCTCTCAACAGTCGGATGTTTCATGGTAATTCTA